ACGGCCACTATAACGACCGGGGAAATTGTTATCTAAATAATTCCTAACTTGTCTGTAGTAGTGTGGTGGAGCACCATCTTGCTTCAGAACGAGTGCACGTAAAGTGGACAACAGCTAGTCCTAAGTTGACATCTTGTAGAAAAACTTACATAATGTCACAAAAAACCGACAATCTCACTTTTCAATAATACCCTGCCGGAAGGTCAAATCTGACTAAAGGTAGGCAACAAATAATACACAAATAGTAACCGTACCGCTATTACTGGTTGAAAGGTCGAAAGGTAAAAGGTAAAGGATACCAGGTTAAAGGTTTGTGGTCACTTTCGTCCGACCAAGAAAAGAAGACAGCCAACCATGGACAGCTGTTTCGTGCTTCTGAGCTACTCATCAGCATGGTCTAGGCTGTTCGGGTTTTTACTTTTACTGTTACTGTTTCTAGAAGAAAAACTACTGCACTTTCTCAGTGAACTTTTATTCGTTCTGAACATAATGACAACACCTTAGCAACTACCCTTGTCAATCTTTCAAACCTTTCAGACACCCGAATACTCGAAGATACATCAAGCACACTACAACTAAACTTCGTAATTTCTTATTTTGTAATTATTCTCAACACCTTCTCCTAATTACAAGATAAGATTACTAAACAAATTTACAAAATTTCTTTTACACTTCACACGTCAAAACATCTCTGAATTTTTCAAATTTGTTTAGACAGAGTGGTTGTGTTAAAACATCTGCTTCTTAATATTCTGAAGGAATATAAACTAAGTTGATCAATCTCTCTTTCACCTTTTCATTTATAAAGTGGAATCTCTCATCTATATGTTTTGATCCTCTGTTAAACTGATTATTTTTAACTAATCTGATTGCACTTTGATTGTCCACATTCAATGACACATCACCATTTTCACAAATCAGTTCTTCAATTAAACACTTTAAATACAATAGTTCTTTAACACATTCTGAAGCTGCTATATATTCAGATTCAGTACTTGACAACGACACTATTGGTTGCTTCCTTGAGCACCATACAATAGGTCCACCACAGTACATTACAACATACCCAGTAGCACTCTTCCTTGTTTCCAAATCACCAGCAAAGTCAGTCACTGTATGATACTACTTCACCTCATCAGAGTCTTTATAAAATTTTATTGCACAGTTTTCAGTTAATTTCAAGTATTGTAGCACTCTCTTCATATTTTCTACATCACTGTTAGTGGGATTTTCCATTTTCCTGCTCCCGTAGCCAACAGCATATGCAATATCTGGTCTTGTTTTACTTGCACCATACAGCAAACTTCCAATCAGCTCACGATAAGGAAATCTATTTATAGGTTGATCTTCTCGTCCTTTATTAGTTTCCATAGGTGTTCTTACTATTTTTAAATTCTCCATATGGAAGGTTTCTAAAATATGTCTGATATATTTAGATTGTTTGAGAACAATTCCATCAGAAACTTTTAGTATTTCCATTCCTAAAAAAGTAGTTGGATTGTTCATCGAAACTATTTCAAACTGTGTTTTCAAGGTTTTTAGTAAATCTTCCATTTCTTCTTCATCTGATCCAATCAATAATCCATCATCAACGTAAATAGCCAGTATTAGCGAACCAGTTTGATTTTTGAAAACACAGTTTGCTGTTTTAGCTACTGTCAAACCTTTTGATTTTGGAAAATTTGTGAATTTTATATTCCATGGTAATCGAGCCTGGTTTAAACCATACAAAGCTTTTCTTAAAAGACAATACTTTATTCTCTTCGGGTCATCCTTCTGGAACTTCCATGTAGATCTTTTTATCTAAGTCTCCATACAAAAATGCTGTTTTTACATCAACTTTCCTAATATGATAGCTATTTCTTGCAGCTATATCAAACATCATTCTTAAAGAATTAATATTCACTACTGGACTGAATGTTTCTTTATAGTCTATTCCATAAGCTTGTTCACAACCTCGTATCACTAGTCTTGCTTTGTATTTTCCATCATCCTTTATTGTGAAAACCCATTTGCTGGATAAGATGTTCTCATTTTCCACATCATTTTTATAATCATATTCCCAGGTATCATTTTTCTGCAATGATTCTTTTTCATCTATGATTGCTTTCTCCCATTTTTCTTTGTCTTCACTACTTATAGCTCCTGTATATGTTAGCATCACATATTCTTCAAATCATCTTGGTAACCTTATTTCTCTTCTAGGTCTTTGTTCTTCTATGCCTTCTCCTGAGTCTCCAACATTTTTCAATTCGCTCATCTGATTCTTCACTATTTTCTACTTGCTCTTCTGCATATTCATCTAATGAGCTTCCTGGTATTTCATCTTCTAGATCTTCACTAAATTCTTCTAGTTTCACATGAGAATCACCTTTTCCTGTTATTTTTCTTTCATTAAACACTACATCTCTTCTTATTAAAATTTTTCTTTGTTCATCTTTCCATAACCAATGAAAATGTATTTCTTACTCCTAACATCCAAATTTCTCAGTTTTGCAAGCACTTTTGCGTAAGCTGCACTCCCAAAAATATGTAAATTGGACAGGTTTGGTCTTCTACCCATCCAACTTTCAGCTGGTGTTACTTCCAAAGCTTCATTTGGAGACTTCTATTTAATATATAACCAGAAAATCTTACAGCTTCTCCCCGAAATGTTTTATTCAATGATGACTCAAATAGCACTGCTCTTGCCTTTTCCATTATTGTTCTATTGAGTCTCTCCACTTTACCATTTAGTTGTGGGGTATAAGGTATTGTGCAGTCAAGAGCTATCCCCCTGTTTTTACACCAAGTTTTAAGTTCATGATTCATGTACTCACCTCCATTATCACAGCGTATTTTGGACACTTTAAGATTGTGAGTAGCCTCCACTTCTTTGACATATGAATTTAAAAATTCTGGAACCTCTGATTTATGTTCTAACAGATAAGTCATGCAAAAGTGGGTGTAATCATCTAAGAATGTCAAGACATATCTTTTATTATCCTATGTAACTGGATCTACAGGACCACATAAATAGGTATGAATAACTTCAAGGGGAGAGTTGCACATGATCTTACAGTTCTAAATGGTTGTCTGGTTTGTTTTGCCTCTAAACAAATTTTACATGTCTTTTCAAGTTTATCACACTCACTTTTAATAATTTTTACACCATCGCATAAGTCTAACAACGTGTTCATATTCTTTATGCTTAAATGCCCTAGTCTCTTATGCCACAAAACAGCGGAAGAATCAAATGTATCCGTTAATAGACTGGTTTCATTCTGACTAATGTTGACTTCATATCATACATATCTACATCTTCTTGTTTTCTTCCTTCTAACACTTTTGCTGTACTATTCTTGATTATTACCTTTTCTTTTGTGAATGTTACAATTCTACCTTTTTCTGTTACAGCATTGACAGAAAGCAGATTCTTACTTAATTCAGGAACATTCAATACATTATTCAGGACACAATTTTCACCTACAATATTCCCTATTCCTAGGCTTTTCATTTTTTCTTGCTTTCTACATATGTGAAGAGACACCTGAATCTACAACAAACATATTTTTCCTTACTTCCTTCTCATTTTCTTTTCCCGTCAGAAAAGCAACTTTTTCTTGATTCAACCTTTGATTTTCCTTTTTGCGTAAAAAAACAATCTTCTGTATCATGACTTGTTTTCTTACAAATCTTGCATTGTTTTGATCTCCCTTTTGTCAGTTTATTTTTACATGCTTTTGCAAAATGTCCAGCTTCACCACAAGAGAAACATTTGTACTGCTTATTTTTATTTGATTTTACGAAAACTGTTGTTTTAAATGCTACTGCATCCTCAGTTTCTTGTGTAGGGTTACATTGCTCTTCAGCAAGGAGTCTTGCTATAAGCTTTGTTAATGTTTTTTTAGTTGCAGGAGTTGATTCCCAAGCAGTTGCAAAGTAATTGTACTGCCTTGGTAAGGTTGACAATATCTTGGACATAATCATTTCACCTTCGACTGATTGATGTAAATTTCTTAGTCTGTATGCAAGATTTTCAATTTTAGAAATGTGAAGAGACAAATCATTTCCTTTCTGATATGTCATATTGAGAACTACTGCATAGCTTTTTGTATATTTCTGCTGATGTTTTACAACTCATCACATGTAGCAGAATATTTTTATCAATTGCAGTAATTATGTACTTCTGAGCTTTTGCATCTTTCTTTTCCCAACGTGTCCTGTCCTGTGCAGTTGCAGATGGATCAATTATTTTTATCCCATCCACGATCTCCCACAGTCCTTGAGATTTGAAAATGATATTTATTTGAACTAAACTTCGTATTTTCTTATTTTATTCTCAACATAGGCTTGGTCTTTTATCTCTGGTCGAAGAAACGAAAGCTCATTGTTTAATCTGTTCACTGGCAAGTATACCACTTCTACTTTCAGCCAGAATCATCAGCCATATAGCGCACGGCTATTAATCGCAAACTGAGATCCATGACAGTTCCAACCAATGTTACCCATAAGGTAAGACGTCATTGGTTAGAAACTAATAGCAGCGGTGCGCGATCCAAAATGGTCTATTCTGGTGCAATAGATGTCGCTTCGCGCTATCTCATCCATTCTTTTTCTATTGTACTATAATTTCTTTCTGCGCTATTTAAAGATCTAGAATGGAAAGCTATTGGTTTCCCTCCTTGGGATAAAACACTTCAGATTGCTACATTACTACCATCTGTGGTTAACACGAAAGGTTTAAAAAAATCTGGATTTGTTAAAATTGGTGGCTTACATACACTCTTTTTAACACGCTTTTATTATCTTGGCCTGCATGTATGTATCTTTGAGCACAATTTTCACCAATTTCCAGAAGTTTGATTAATTTGAAACGTCGCATACGTATCAAGGACCGATGACAATGCAATAATTTGATAACAGTTTTCCATTATCCTTATAAGTAAAATTCTGTAAAAAGCAGATGTTAATAAAAAGCCACGGATTTCATATGCTGCTTTACGAATAGTGAAACTACAGCATCTGCAGCTCAGTGGCAGAGCACTGGTCTTGTAAACCAGAGGTCGTGAGTTCAATCCTCACAGGTGACATATTTGTGCTATACCTTTTTTTATTTTTTTTTACACGCTTTTATTAGCTTGGCCTGTATGTATGTGTGTATGTAACGGAATCTTTGAGCGTAATAATTTTTACCAATTTCCAGAAGTTTGATTAATTTAAAACTTCGAACACGTATCAAGGACCGATGACAATGCAATAGTTTGATAACAGTTTTCCATTATCCTTATTAGGATCTCCAGGATTGATAAATTCTTTTATAGATCCTCTGTAGGGGAGTAAGAGAGATAGAGCTAGCGCTCGATCTGCGCATGCGTGCAGTTTCGGACTTACTCTTTGTTGGTTTGGGCACAGCACAACGGAGGCATACACTTTTTCAAGGTAGTGCATTCTCACCTTGTTCATTGCGAATGTTGCCATCCACAAGATGCAAGGTTGTAAAGTCGATCATACAGTCATTTATCTAGGCTCGCGACTGTTTGCTGCTGGACAAGCTTATGTAGCACTTAGTCATGTAAGATCTTTAGACGGTATTCGAATTGAAGAACTTGATTGTTCTAAGTTAACAGAAAAAACCCCATGCAACAGTGAAGCTTTAAATGAAATGATTAGATTACGAAATGATTCGTAAGACATTTCAATACCACATTCCACAAAAAACTAATTGATAAAACCGAAATAAATAGTAGAAAATAATTTTTAATTACAGAGTTTATATTACAGTAGTAGATGGTCGAACAATCAATCATCATTAATGTCCTCAAAATAAAATTATAATAAATTTTAAGTTATTAACAGAATAATTCAATTCAGAGTAAAAAGCGTGGGGTGCATTATACTGCATTTTCATAACTCTCCTCTCGTAGACAGTTGCCAATAGAATGATTGTAACATTTAATATATCAAGCACCCTACGCTTTTTACTCTGAATTGAATTATTCTGTTAATAACTTGAATGTTATTATAATTTTATTTTGATGTCATTAATTATGATTGATTGTTCGATCATCTACTACTGTAATATAAAGTCTTTGTAATTAAAAATTATTTTCTATTTTTTAGTTCGGTTAGCCAAAAAACCTTGTTTTTTAGTTTTTTTTAAACTATTATTTCTTTATGATATCAAATGCGTTTAAATAATCTACGTTATTAGGATCAATCTGTTCTCCTTTTCGCAATAGCTTACTGAATGGTTTAGTCAGTTTAGCAAAGTCTTTAATGAACTTACGATAATAATTTGCAAGTCCTAGGAATGATTGTATTTCTTTTATGCTTTTTGATAACGGAAAATTTTGTCTTGCTTTTATTTTATCCGGATTAGGTAAAATACCTTCTGCAGTTATTATGTGTCCTAAGAATGGCACATCTTTTCTCAAAAATTCAGTTTTATCTAATTGAATTTTTAGCTTATGTTTTATTAAGGACTCGAATATGTTTTAAATCATAGATATGTTCTTGAAGGGATTTTGAAAAGATTATTGAGATCGAGATACACGAAGCAAAATTTTCCTAAATACGGCAGTAAAACGGAGTTCATCATGTGTTGGAATGTTGCTGGGGCGTTTTTAAGAGCGAAGGACATTCGTATGTATTCGTAATGGCCGTTTTGAACTGTGAATGCGGTTTTTTCTATTGGATTTGGGTCCATTGGAATCTGATGGAAGCCTTGAGCTATGTCTAAAGTAGAAAAGTATTTTGCTCTACCCATTCTAAGATTTCTTCCCTTCTCGGCAGCGGATATTTATCTTCTACGGTTACTTCGTTTAATTTTCTAAAGTCAATAACATCCTGTATTTCTTTTTAACTGAAGCATCTGGTTTTTTGTTTACTATCCAGACCCGAGCACTGTATGGAATTATACTGGGGCCTATAACTTCATGTACTAATAATTTGTTAACTTGGTCTTGAATTTCCTTCTTCAAATGATTTGGGTAACGGTATGATTTGACAATAATCAAATCATTATGTTTAGTTATAATTTTGTACATTGTAACATGACAAGGTTTAAATGCTTCATTTGGTTTCAAAAAGGCGTGTGTATACTGTTGACATGATTTCAAAATTTTATCTTTTTTTCTGACTTCACATGAGAAGTGCGAATTAATTAACTCATTTTTACGTTGTCAGTTTCTATCGGTATTTGTATTATTTGGTTCAAAAGGATTGATTTGAATGTCATTAAATTCTAAAAGACATAGATTTTCTGGGTACTGGATCTTTCAATCCTACACAAAACTTCGGGAAAATTTTCGTTACCTCCTTTATATTTCAACGCCGAGACTAAAGCGTATCCGTCCGAGAGATCACTATAAATTCGTGGTATTTCTTCAATTTTATTGGGTTCACGTTTCGGTTGTTTATCAGGTTTGTAAACGATACTGAGGTTTTCTAAATATAATTTATTGTTGGCTATATCAAATGAACAATTTAATTTATGTAGGTCATACTATCCTAGAAGACAATCATAAGTATCGAGCCAATTAATTACTAGAAATTCAATTTCGAAATCTATACCATACTCGTGAAATAGGAGAATTCTACATGCGTATTGACCAAGTTTTTTATTTTTACTGGCCTTGATTTCAAATAGTTTTTCATAAACGTAATCTGGAAATAGGGAAAAAAGCTAAGTCTTGATTCATAAGTGATGAGGAGGCATCTGCATCAATTAAAACTTGTAACTCTAAATATGGGCTGTAAAGATATGGCAAATGCGTATTGGTATAAGCATTTATATTTAAGGGCCGTATCGTCAGTCCTTCCTACAATAATTGTAGGACGCCTTTATGGCCTCCTTGATTTTCATATTGTCTTGCATCTTTCAATAAGGAACGTGTGTGACTGCTTTATATTTCTTCGCTGCTGTCATGCTGTCAATTGTGATGTTTGTTTTGGTGTTTAAGGAATTTTAGACAGATGAATCAAATGCCGAAGCATATTTTCTTGCAAATAATAGAGATTATTTCGCGAGATCCCGTAGTGAACCGGAGCGGGAATAGATGGAATTTTCCCTTCCTCTCGAAGTTTTGATAGTTTCAAGTTACACCGGGAGTGATTAGATGCCGCATGTTGCGAAAAATGTTTGCTTTAAGCTCCTTGATAAACTTAGCTGCATTGTTTGAATCGCTCGTCATTTAAAATCATGTGGGCGTATTCCTCCATTTATGATTTAATAATTTAACACAATTTTCGGCACTGCAATTTTCAATTGAGATGCCTGTTTTTTAAATGCCTCACAGACGTTAGGCCGGTACCCGTACCACGTGATTTTTTGAAATTCGGACGACGTCACATCCGTCTTCCCCTATTCCCGTTCTTAGCGAAAATTTGAGTATCGGTTTCCGGTAGTGCAGTGTGCTACACCGTGGACTCGCGAAAATATCATTAATGTTAATCAGTCAATAATAATTCCCTATATTGAATAAATTCGTCAAGCTGTGGTATCCCATATCTGGTATTAATCATCTAAAATGAACAATGTAATGCAAATTGATGTGTATTTATAGCCCAACAGCTTACATCCAAGCTGTTCCTTGATGAAGGTAGGTAAGTTACAAAATCAATCATTGCATATTCATATTTATATACTTATCGCATTTTTTTCAGATGTGATTCATTCTCACAGACTTTATGAGATGTTGGATAAGAAACATTGTATCCCAAGTGCAACTGCATTGTTGATGTCGGAGATGCCTGTTCACAAATCATTGTTGGACTTTGGATTATGTAGAGTGTCAGGCTACAAGTATGCTCTGAGATTGAGTTTAAACGTGATCCCCTGCCCTATCTGATATTTTTTCATACTAGTGGGAACCTTCGTGATATTGCATACAAAACTGAATGATCTTCTTAAGTATGGATTTATTCATCCAGACACTTGAAAGCATATTTGAATGAGCCAACCTTACAGAAGCAAAACGTGAATTTGCGTTTTGTGATCGACATGTGTTACACTGCAATTTGTAAATTAAAGGTAGACATAAGCCTGTATAATCATAAAAGTTGAAAGCTATCGAGTTCAAGAGGAGCTTTGCTAGGCCTGGGCAGGGGATCCTTGAATGTCTAATGGTTAATCTTGCGTGTGAGATAGCTAAGATAATGCACGAAACTAGATAAAAGTGCCTTCTTGAATATTGTAATCGACATTTCTATTTGGCAAAATCTCACGAAGCTGATGCCATGGGTTTGAGATTGAATACTTGACATCACAGCATAGTGGTAAATGATGACAATCACAAAAATAAAATTCCAGTGTTGTAGCAAAAAGGCTCTATGAAATACATATTTTAACACTTATGTTTAAATTGGTACTTATGACTAAAACGTAAGAAATCACTATTACTTTTAATAGTATTTTTTCACATCTACTTGCATTGCACAAAGATACATCCGATTCTGACAAGTCCAGGGTACAAGATACTGTTCGAGAATAACTCCAGTGTACGGAACCTTATTAGAGGAAAAAGAAGAGACACATATTTAAATTGGATATTTCAAAAAGTTTGGTACCTACAGTTAATTTACACTAACTTTCCAAAGATGATCTAATGTACCCCCAAACTAGAAAGTTCAGTTTGTAATTGATTAGATATCCTTTTAGCCCTGTTTAAATAGCTTGTAATTTAGAAAATAGCATATAATCTAGTTTTAACATCATGCTAGAGAAAAAACATTTGTTTTAAGAGAAAAAAAGGATTTGAACCTATAGTCAACGCCAAACAAAGTGGCGTGCACGTCATCAAGGTGGGTGTGTTGAAAAATTTACATTGTTGCCAAACTTTTTGTAAAATAATAAAATTTATTATTTACATATCTAGGTTTATAAGCAATATTAACCTCAAATGAGAACAAAAATAATAGTATAATAAAATTATAGATCTGTACTTGCATAATCATTAAGTATGACAATTATTGATCAGATGACACTATGAAACTACGATATTTAATTGATAGCTTAAAGGTACTGAATAAAAATCCAAATGGGGTCCTCCAAATTTTATGCATGGTATTTATTTTACAGAATTCATACAGAAAAATGCATTCTAAAATTAGGTAAGCTACTGGTGTAAGCTTTTTCTGTACAATAAAGTTAGTCGGAGTTTCTTTCTTCAGCGCTGTCTGAATCTGAATCTTCATCACTCTCAAAGTTGATTATTATAGGTTCGATGTCTGGTCGATCAAAAATTCGTTCTCTTTCATACCATTTAAAAATTTCTTGCTCAGTATGTCGAACACTATTTTTCCACATGTCTGGGGTAACCGTTTGTAGAGCCTCGTTCCACATATCCAAACAGTCTTTTTCACTGTTACCATCTCTACCAATATGTCTGTTATAGTAACCTTTTGCTATGCCCCAAATTAACTCAATAGGGTTAAATATACAATGGTAAGGAGGCAGACGAAGAACTTTGTGCCCATGTTGTTTCGCCAATTCATCAATCACGTATATTTTAGGTGGTTTGTTTCTAAAAAAGCAGTTATTTTAAGAATAGGAATAAACAAAAGAAATATAAACTGTCGACCAAAATATATATAATTAAGAAGCATTATGTACCGAGCAACAATACTCAATAGCTCTGTTTTAAACATTGTGTTTAAAAATGGTATGTTTTGATTTGTCAACCAGTCTTGGATACTTTTTTTTGTCCATGCATTGTTGGGCACTTTGTTCAATATCATGCTGTGATAAGGGGCGTTATCCAGTATAATCATAGATGGACTCTCCAATTTTTCTAATAACTGATGTTGAAACCATTTCAAAAAATTGTCCTGGTTCATCTCTCCATGGTAATCGCTCAATTTTGTTTTCGAAGAAAATATCGCTTCACTACCCTCAATAAACCCATTTTCATTTCCAGCATGTAATATAATGTATCTAAAATATATTAGTTTTAAATTTTATAGTGCAAATTGTGTAAAAGTACATACCTTTTACCATCTGTTTTAATAGCTTTCACGCTTTTTTGGTTTCCATTTTGCCAAGAGCGACCTATGGTCCCATTTTGAAATATCCAAGTTTCATCGAGGAAGACAAACTGGTATAAGGCCTCAACCTTGGCTTGATTGTATTGCCTTAGAAATTCCACCCTTTTCAAAGCTATACTTGGTAGTTCCATGAGCCCTCGTCGCGGATTGTCCTTAAGCCACTTAAATCCAAGATCTCTAAGCAACCGCCTTAAAGACGTGGCACTACCATCAAATAATGCCCTATCTCTTAATCGAGACCATAAAGTTTGTATCGTAACTTGTTCTTCTGAAACCATGTGTAATATGACATTATAATTTAGTTAACAAATTAATGCAAATTTCTGATAAGTTATTATAATAAGATCTTACTTTTGTGATACATATTATAGATCACTTCTCGAATGGCACTTGTATCCAATGTCGCTGTGTTGGTTACACGTTTAATATAACTCCGCTTTTTCTTGGGCGATTCTAAATTTGCATCACTTTTCACACCCTCGGAAATACGACTAACTGTCCTTAAACTAATTTTTAAAGCAGCAGCAACACGCTACAAAAAATGAAATAAAATTTCACTATTATTAATATACATTACATATAATTATTAGTAACCTACCTCTTGAACAGCATTTAAAGGCAACAAAGGCCCGTTGTTGTCCCTTTCTTGCTCAAAGTAGTGCATTAACGAGGCCACGAGTTCCTTACACCGACTATTTAACTGTTTGGGCATCTTTATATACCAAAATTGCCTTTATCTACTCGTAAAATGAATAATTTTGTTTTGAAATAAACAGTTGTTGATTTACAGTATGCGGGGCCAAAGGATTTATAAAGATTTGAAATGCCACAAATTGATTCAGTGTCAAAATTAATACAAATGTCAGTTCCCAGTTTAAATAAGTTTCAAGGTGACAATGTGTCAACGCTGCGAAATCGGTTTAGTGCGTTTACATGTCGATAAGTGATTGGAGCGTTTGCAAAACATTTTATTTCGCATGCGTCTAAATTTATCAGAAAGCAACTTATGTGATATTTTAATAACAACGTTTATATGACTATTAACCATAATAAGAGAGTAATGACCATTTTACTATTTATATATCACATTAATATGAAACTGCAATAGACCAATTGTTTGTGATAGAAACCTAGGCATTAGGTCGGGGAATTTTTATCGTGATGACGTGCACGCCACTTTGTTTGGCGTTGACTATATTGTATTTCTGTGGGTATACAATGGAGAATCCTTTTATTTATATTCTGCAAATCTTTACCAAATGAAAATTATAACCCATGAAATTGTTAAGGAATTCCTAGATAGTATGTCAAAACACACAGTAATCAATTAAGTCTTTATATCTAAAAGGTACAACTAATAACAAGAAATATGAACAAATACATATCCAAAATAAAAAACTACACTAGTGTATTACAATAACCTTTAGTAACATATATTTTAGGTTTACTTACATAAAATATATAGGGTGTTTTCCAACTGAATGTCAATATTTAAGGGGGCGACTTTTAGTTCCATTTTAAGAAGAAAAGTTCATATAATCGTATGTCCTAAACGTCTTGACTTTTGAGAAGCAAGGTGGTAAACTTTTCAAAAATCAATAACTTTTTGTTAAGATCTGTAATACCACTTTAAATACTTTATTAAAATTCGGCATATATGTACTACCAAGAGGTATTTCTAATGTATGAATTTGCCTTTAGTTTCCACCAGTGACGTTCGTACCGATTTCACTTGCCTATTTTGGCAGACAAAGATAGTACGCAACTGATTTCTCTTAAAATAAAAACTACTCTTGAAATCCTCAGTAATTTCTAAACAAATTTGATCACTCAATTTTATTCAGGCTGATGCACGGTATTCGCTTAAAAAGAATAAAATAACGTTTCTTTGCATGATCCTAATATCGCTAGTATGACAATGTCACTATGTCGAGAAATAGATTGTATTTTTCAGGTGAAAACCGTGCGTCAGAATAAGAGAATTCAATTTTTTATATCCGGCCCTCGATTTCCACCCAAATAGAAATAGAAAATTTCTTTGCATGGTGATATTGTCATGTTAATAATATTGTTATGATTTTTTTTATTAAAACCGTGCATCAGATTGAAAAAAATCAAACCGATTTTTGCTTAGAAGTGATTCAAAATTCTAAATCAACGGCATACCTCACTGTTTATCAAAATTGGCAGGTAACATTAAAAGAATGCCTCTTGACACGTATAGATGTATGCCAAATTTCATTAAGTGATATTACAGATATTCATAATCGACGATTTATTTTTTTGACCTTTTTTATCACCCTGTGCTTCAAAAGTTAAAACATCTAGGACATACGATCATATGAAGTTTTCATCTTGAAATGGACCTGAAACCACCCCCTTAGATATGGACATTCAATTAGGAAACACACTAAATTGCAGCTACTAATACTACAAGATATAAATATGCAGACTTTCGAGCCAAATAATTCTTTTTTTTTTAATGTGACTATATCATAACTAGCAAAATATGTTTTTCGTATGAGTGTTTCAAATATGAAACCTGTTCAGTTTTTGATATTTCTTTCTCAATCAGAAAGTTTTTATCTTTCCTATGACAGTTTAAATAGATTTCCCATTTTATGCTAAGGTTACTTTTGATACTAGCAGCATCTATCTACCTGAATGCAATGCAATTATCTTAAAACTACTTATTAGGGATTAATCTAGTCTGACTTTGAGGTACCTACCATTTTTAAAATAATGGATCTTTTCCGCTTATCTAGTTGTTTGAAGTGTTTGAAATTTATTTAACAGGAAAATCATTCCCTTGGCACAATTTTTGATAGTTTTTCTGATTTTACTTCATGTCTCTGTAATACTTCATTTTTGGTAATCCTACATGACCATGGCTTTTGAGCACGCTGAAATAGCGATGATCAATAATAGTAATTATGATCTTCACATTCACACATTATACATACATACTTGTAGCCTGACGCTCTACACAATCCAGAGTCCCACAATGCTTTGTGAAAAAGCATCTCTGACATGGACAATGTAATAATTGCATTTGTCATACAGTGTTTCTTATCCATGGAGGAACCAACATCTCATAAAGTCTGTGAGAATGAATCACATCTGAAAAAAATGCGATGAGTATATAATATGAATGCAATGATGAATTTTGTAACTTACCTACCTTCATCAAGGGAACAGCTTGGTTGAAAGTTCTTGGGCTTTTATATATAAATTCACATCCATTTGCATTGAATTGTTCATTTTCAGATCATTAATACCAGATATGGGATTTGAAGATATCCCAGCTTGCGGAATTTGTTCAATGTAGGGAATTATTATTGACTGATCAAAATTATTTGCAAGAAAATCATAAATTATGCTTCTGCCGTCGATTCATGTGTCTGAAATTTTTGAAACGTCAAAATAACAACATAACACATAACCTATAGTCAGAACTGTCGGCACGCCAGAAATCTAAAGCAGTAAACACAAGTACCTTACTGAAGGAAACATGATATTATGGAAGTCAAGAAGGCCATAAAGGCGTCCTACAATTGTAGGAACGACTGACTATATGGCCCTAACTTAATTCGTTTTGTTGACTCGATATGGGAAAATTTTTAATTTGTTGAATTTTTGGAATTTTATGTATTTGAACTGCTTGTCAGTTACTTGTTCAGGCGGTAGTGTCTCTTCATAGTTTTCAAATTAAAAATCTTCGTTGTGGACTAAATTTGTTAATTCTTCGAATATAAAATTTCTAGGTTGACCAATATTAGTGAAAGCATGAGGTCTAACTGTTGGAAAGTTATTATTAAATCTCGGTTGTGGATTGAAATTTCTATTATAATTATTATTCGGATTTTGTCTAAACGCAGGGATGTTAGCGGGCAATCTTAGTGCATTAGCCATGTTAGGTCGCGGCATATTAATTGGGTCAGTTGTAAATCTAGAAGTTTGAGGCATCGTAAAGTTTCTCTTTTGTAAAGTATGGGTAGGTCGTATGGAGTATTGCTGTTAAGGGGGTCTCAAAACGTGACTTGTATTTCTGCAATCTTTATCTGTGTAATTTTGGAGTAAATGTTTCTTATATTATTCATTTTGTGCTTGCAGATTATCGCACCTTTGGCATAATTGGATATATTGATTTAATGTTTTAGAATCATGAAATTGTAAGTGTTCGCGATATGGACTTTTTATTCCGGTAATATATGAGTTTAAGGCTTGTCAAGTATACATTTGGATTCGATGTGGAGCAGCATCACCCAATTCAATATTAGCATAATCTCTAATAGCACGTAATTTTTCTTGTATTTCTTGAAAAAAGTCAATATGATGTTGGTTTGATTTTTAAAATGCACGTTGCAAATCATCAATTAAATTTTCCTCACTACGAGTATGGCGATAATTCCTTTTTAGTAAATCTTTTAATTCGGTCCAGTTATTCGGTCTATGGATTTTTAATAAATTAGCAGCATCGTCTGTGGGATGAGTACCAACAAATTTTTCAGAGTTATCAAGGAAGTCACTTAAGTCTATAGATCCTCGTAAAAAATAGGGAACATAATTTTTCATGAGTTCAAACAGCATGCGTAAGACAGACTGTTGTTGGCTGAGTTCGTAATTATCGGGGTAGTATTTTCTAATGTGTTAGATAAGTTTAAAGGTGGAGTATTAGTCGGGTATGGTCTGTAACGTCTTTCTGTCATAAAGTATAAATCTTAAAACTAAAATAATTATGAAAGTTTAAGAGTAATAAAAAATGGAAATCGCAAATGAGTCTTGAAATCTTCTCTCTTCGAACAATATGAAGATTTTCAATAACTTACTGCGTGATTAGCACGTACTGCAGCATGGAGACGTCGGGCTACCAGAAATGGCTGGGTGATGGTTCTGGAGTAGTCGGCTTCAGAGTTGAAAAACTCACCCTTGGAGACTAGTAGTTGGAGATATTTCTGCCTCGGAAACGTAGTCCTGAATAGCAGCTTCTCTGTTCATCAGTTGCTTGAATGCTTCCATAGATCAGGAACTGATTGTGTAGACTTTACTGTAATTGGCACCCGTAATGAGTCTCACTTGATGTTTACAGAAAAATGTGGACTGACTTCAAAGTGACCAAGGATGATAGCTTAACTTATATATATTTTAGGCTGGCATACACTGTGAGGACCGCCTGTATACCATACAAAGTGAGGACCACCAGAAGGAATGCAGCTACAAATGTGGTTTAAGGCGTGATCTGGTAGCACGGCAGTGTTATATGTAAAAGTGGCGACTATACGCGGAAAAAAACAATTTTAAATGTTTGACTTGTATATAGGACAAAGTGAGGGCCGACAAACCTTCTAACGTAACGAGGTCCATATATTGAAACACTTACAACAAACAAAGTGAGGACCTTTCAGGACATATTCTTACTTAGCGCATACATAGTGAGGACCGTACCAGGTTACCTATGTCAACTGGTTTTTCTCAAAGGTCACTTTGATACGTAGCTGTGATGTCGGCAAAAGTCGTGGTGAGCGTCTGTGAAATGTGGTCCACCCACAAGCGTGAAACACCCCACCATGCAACATTGAAATGACATCAAGTAGGTTCACTCACTTTAGGAATAACGTGATTGGGCAAATTAGGATACATTTCGTGAGAGTCTACGAAATGTGATCCATGCAGGGCAGTGGAATTCCCCAACATGCAATAATAAAATAACGACAAGTAGGTTGACTCGTTCTGGAATCACGATTTTGGGCGGACTAGGTTACATTTCGTCAGCGTCTACGAAATGTGGTCCATGAATGAGTGTGAAACACCCAACCAAGAAGTTTTAAAATGTCAAGTAATCTGACTCATTCAAGGAATAACGTAAATAGGCGGATTAGGTCACATTTCGTGAGCGTCTGTGAAATGTCTGTGAAACACCCAACCATGCAGCACTAAAATGATGTCAAGTAGGTTGACTCGTTCAAGGAATAACAATATTTGACGGATTAGGGTTGATTTCGCGATTATCTGCTATATGTGATCTATGTAGGAGAGTGAAACACTCCAACACGCAACAATAAATGCCGTCAAGTAGGTTGACTAGTTAAGAAAATAACTTTATTAGGTAAAACAATGTCAGAAATGCTACGAGACTGAATGGTACCATCATTTCGCGATTATCTGCTGAATGTGATATATGTGGGAGAGTGAAACACTCCAACACGCAACAATAAATGCCGTCAAGTAGGTTGACTAGTTAAGAAAATAACGTTATTATGTAAAACAATGTCAGAAACGCTACGAGATTGAATGGTACCACCGTGAGATGAAAGCCTTAAGTTGTTAAATCTCCTTAATTGAACTGCTTTACACTATAATTGTTCCTGTAGTCACATATGTGGTGTAAAAAGTACTTTTGGTTTTTAGTAATCGATACCGCATACTGTTAACTTAGAGATAAAATGCAAATTTATGGCAATCCGAAAGTTGTCATCGAATAAGGTAGATACAAATTTATTGTAAGGCTTCGAGAAAGTTTATGTGTGGGTTTATCATGAGTGGAAGGCAGTACGTACCTGCTTTACTGGTTTATCATTAGCAACTTAATGTGGGAAAGGTTCGTAATTCCGAGGAATGACCTCATGTGTGAAGATATCTTTGGGATTGCAAGTCATGGCAGTATACCTGTATACTGTAGTTTTTTCAATTTGAGTTTGGAGGAAGAAATTTTCATGTGAAATCTGAAGAATAATGGAATTGCTAAGAAGGTATCACTTGTTAATTGAGTAAGTGCATCAGAGGGGAAATTTTTCATATAAGATCAAAGAAGTACAGTCAAGTATTGAGTTTGAAAGTATTAACTTTGCATCTAGAAGGTAGCACCTTCCCAATTGGGTTATTATCGTATAAAAAACCTAGAAGTTATGATTTACAATGTTTTCACTGTTAGCTATAAACTGTTATTTGGCTTAGGTAGATGACCCGCTTATTTGAGAGATAAGATTATATTTAGTCGTGAAGTTCATAGCAGGAGCATAAGAGACCGTAAAATAATCAGAATACCGCCTCACTCTATGACACTTTTCAAGCGCTGTTTTTCATATAATGCTGCCATACATTACAATGCTTTATCAGGTAAATACAGTGTAACCCGCTTATAATGGACTCGGCGGGACTGTGACAAATAGTCTATTATACGCGGATGACCATCTTAAAAGAAACACTTTTTTTTTAAAGAAAAAAGTAGCAGAAATAACATATTAAAAGCTTAAAATGTGTTTGTTTAACATGTTTTACATAAATAAAGGTACATACAAAAAATTTATTCCTATACACATATTACAGGCATATGTACTGTGTAGGTATGTGTAAAAACCGTAAATTATTTGGTAAAAAAGTTAGTAATTTTTATTTGAATAGATTGCTGTTTGTATAATTATTTAGAACAGCAAGCTAAATTTTATTTAATTTGGTAAGTGTGGCTATACTGTCTTCTTCTTGCTGAAAATAACGTTGCAACTTTTTCACGCAGTCTAATGCCTCCTTAGTTGTCACTGGAAGCTCTTCTTTATCGTTGTTTTCTATTGCATCTTCCTGTTTGTTATCAACGGATCCTTCATTAACCAAATTGGAGTCTGACAATTCCTGTGTTGCTATTAAATTATTGTCAACATTTACATAGTCATTAAATTTGTCTATATCCAGTAAACTATTAATTTTCAATAAATCACTTAATGGAATTTCATCTTCTGGATCAAAATCGTTGACTATTTCAGTTATGTTTTTCACATCATGGTAAAAACAATTACGGATCGTTTGTGGAGTAACCAATTCCCATGCAATAGTAAGCAAATTTATAGCATCTAAAATGGTGACAGCTTTGATAATGTTGACATCTTCTTGAAGCTCCATAATTTTCATCAACATATGTTTCCTATACATTTGTTTAAGTCTCCAAATGACACCCTGGTCCATCGGTTGCAGAACTGATGTGACATTGGGTGGAAAAAATTGAAGGTTGATGTTATTAAGTAAAATATTTGGATGAGCGGGGCAGTTATTGACCAAGGGCAACATTTTACGGATTTTCTTAACAAGTTCAGCGTCCCACTTTTTTAAATATTCTTCAAAAATTGATGAAGTCATCCAAGCTTTATTATTTCCAACATAAACGACGGGATTTGTTTTAACACTTTTGAATCACCTGGGATTCTTAAATTTCCCTGAAATAAAAAAAGGTCATAAATTCTTTTCAGCACTGCCATTGAATATCAAAAAAAAAATTAGAACATTAATTTCTGTTCATTCACTTACCTATTATCAATAATTTCCGTTTTTCAGTACCAGAAGCATTAGCACAAATCATAACAGTTATTCGCTCTTTTAATAGTTTCCCTCCATTGCAAGTTTCACCTTCACCTTTATTTGTATCATAGATCCACTTATTAGAAAATTATGAACACGCTTTTGTTGAAACCATTTGAACAGCATATCATCGACTTGGGGATGCAATATTTCGATAATTTCAACTCTTTCTGCTGTGGAATATACCATGGTTAATTTATGTAACAAAGCGTTACAAGTTATTTTAGCAACAAAGTTTGGTCAAATCAATCGCAAACTATGTACTAAATTCCTATTTCAAATAAGTACGAGATATTTCCTTATCTTTCTTCAAGATATAACTTTTTTGCCACAAACAAACGCTCCAATAGCTATTTTCAACAACAAAATGATAAACAAACCATGGGCGTAGTGAAGAAAAGCATTTACTTATTAAGTAAATTCTTTTAGCCAAATTTCTTCTGAAAGTAGTACAAACTAATCTGATGTACCTATTAAAGTGTACTTTAAGCTTTAAATCAATAAATCTTCAAAACTACTGAACTGAAGTACATTAATTTTGTATCATTATAAAGGGAATTGAAAGACCTTTAAAATAAGGTATCACTCGACCCCCCTTTCCAGTTAAGATTTTGGGGGTGGTGTCACCCCCGCTTAGGGGGCTGCACGTGCTAACGTGATTTTTTGCCAAACCTGTGTCCCCTCGAAAAAAAAATCGACTGAGCGTTTTTCAAAAAAAACTGAGCTGCCAGTAGATGCGTCTGTTTCGTTTTCGATGCGCCACCCTGTATGTGTGTATGGGTGTATATATATATATATATATAGGTGAAAAATTAAAGCTTCCGTTCGTTGTTGGGGCGAAAATTTATATCCAAGTTGTTTTTTTCCCGACATTTATCGACATACCTTTTTAAAGTAATTCTTGGGATTTTAAACTGAAGTGCAATACATACGCACACACGCGCGCACACACACACACACACACACACACACACACACACACACACACACACAGAACATATATATATATATATAACTTGAGACGTGGTCATTGTCGTCTAGAGCAGTTAGGTGAAAAATTAAAGCTTCCGCCTTTTGTTGGGTACTTCGACAAAATTTAAGCAAAGAGGACTCTTTATACTTTTTTAATTCTCTCTAGCTTTCAATGGACTTTGCCATCATCATCAGGAGCTACAATTACAATGATAACAGTAGCAACGAAAGTGTAAAATGAATTTAAATTGACTCAACTTACAGTAGTATGTGAGGATGTTGCTAATTGTTGTTTACGTATAGGATGAGGGAAACGTCCAGTAACATGGTGAGAGCTGGATAGATGGTACAATGGTCAAAATTATATAAAGTATGACAAGAACAAGTTAAAAACAGATTAAAAATTATTTAAAAACATTAGAGCATTACATCGTGAAGCCACTTGATGATTGCACAAAATGGTGGTCATGGAATAATGAGTGAGATGACCCTTTGACAGAAGGCCGAAGGTTGTCAATGTCTGTGTTGAAAGATGGAACGAACTGTGGGCGTGTGCCCAACGTTGCCAAATCACTTCAGATGATGTGATTTTCAGAATGTTATGTAAGAAGTTGTTAAACCGACCAGAGGCAGTTGAATGAACTATATTTTAATTAATGGGAATTTAAATTAACAATTATTAATAAATCGTGAGAAGAGAATTATTAGATTTTGAGTGGAATGAAATTTACTGGTGGAATCGGCCAAAACACAGATTCTATTTATGGTTGTGAAGAGTCGAAATTTGGGGAGATATGTAAGTTCTCCAATTTTTCGCAGTTTAGCAAATATGAGTAAATGACACTCAGTTGTTATTCATGAAAATGTGGGACATTTCTAGGAATAAACGTTTGGAAAGATGTTTTTCTTTATCAAGAACTTTGATACTTGTGTAATTCATAGCATGCCCTGTTGTGTTAACATGAGATGCTAGAGCGCATCTTTCAGGATGAAGCCTAGCATCACTTTTGTGTGATGTAATCCTTCCTTTAAGAGATCTGGAGGTCTGACCTATGTATATTTGGTTGCAGTTGTTGTAATTGATGGAATAGACTTTGTTGGAAAAGCCAAGCAGCGGGACTTTGTCTTTCATTTTTGAAAAAATGCAGTTTATAGTGAGGACGGATTTGCAAGCAATTCGAAAGTTCAAAGGACTGCACAATCTGATCAGCTTAGGGGTCAGTTCCTTGATATAGGGCAGGACAGCAAAACCAGGTCTGGAATCCGGGTTGGTGCTTGTACTGTTTGGATTGATGCTATTATTGGGAATTATATCAGTTCCGTTATTAGGGGTTGTGCGACTATTACCTGCATCACCAGAGTTCGGCAAAATATTGGAAGGTGAACTAAATAAGATCTTGTTAATCAGACACTTCGGATAACCATTATTGATGAACAGTTTTGATAGTATACGTAAATTTGAGGTGTGGAAAGTATTATCTGAGATGCTGATTACCCTTGTTTTCATCTGCTTTACCAAACTGATTTTAATCCCTAGCTTATGGTATGACCTAAAATTGAGAAACCGACCTGAGGCCATAGGTTTCTGGTACCAGTCTACCAATAAACTGTTGTTGTTGGTGCGGATGAGTCTTGTGTCTAGAAAGGGGACAGACAGGTTCTCATCTTCTTTTTCAATGGTAAATTGGATGTAGGGGTCATAGCTGTTGAATTCTCTGACAATACCATCCAGACCTATGGAGGGGAGGCATACAATAATGTCATCTACGTATTTTTTTATGAAGAAGAGGTTATAGGGTAGTGTCGGAATAACAGTATCAAGCAGATCATCCATGACATATTCTGCCAAAATTGGTGATAGAACAGACCCCATAGGACAACCATGTGTTTGAGAATATATTTTGTTGTTGAAAGAGAAATAATTGTTATGAAAAAGGAATGTTATAATGTTGGTGAAAGATTCTAGAGATATGTTGCAGTGTTGACTTATCTCATTCCAGTGTTTATTAATAGTTCTTGTACATGCATCCAGATAGATATTGCTGAATAGCGACACCACATCAAGACTGGCGATAATATGATCGGCTGGTATTGTCAATCTGTAGAACTGACGAGAGACTTCAAATGAGTCTTTGATGTAGTAATCATTATCTACATGTCTGTCCCCTTTCTAGACACAAGACTCATCCGCACCAACAACAACAGTTTATTGGTAGACTGGTACCAGAAACCTATGGCCTCAGGTCGGTTTCTCAATTTTAGGTCATACCATAAGCTAGGGATTAAAATCAATTTGGTAAAACAGATGAAAACAAGGGTAATCAGCATCTCAGATAATACTTTCCACACCTCAAATTTACGTAAACTATCAAAACTGTTCATCAATAATGGTTATCCGAAGTGTCTGATTAACAAGATCTTATTTAGTTCACCTTCCAATATTTTGCCGAACTCTGGTGATGCAGGTAATAGTCGCACAACCCCTAATAACGGAACTGATATAATTCCCAATAATAGCATCAATCCAAACAGTACAAGCACCAACCCGGATTCCAGACCTGGTTTTGCTGTCCTGCCCTATATCAAGGAACTGACCCCTAAGCTGATCAGATTGTGCAGTCCTTTGAACTTTCGAATTGCTTGCAAATCCGTCCTCACTATAAACTGCATTTTTTCAAAAATGAAAGACAAAGTCCCGCTGCTTGGCTTTTCCAACAAAGTCTATTCCATCAATTACAACAACTGCAACCAAATATACATAGGTCAGACCTCCAGATCTCTTAAAGGAAAAATTACATCACACAAAAGTGATGCTAGGCTTCATCCTGAAAGATGCGCTCTAGCATCTCATGTTAACACAACAGGGCATTCTATGAATTACACAAGTATCAAAGTTCTTGATAAAGAAAAACACCTTTCCAATGGAAATGTCCCACATTTTCATGAATAACAACTGTATCAACAAAAAGACAGATATAAACAACTGAGTGTCATTTACTCATATTTGCTAAACTGCGAAAAATTGGAGAACTTACATATCTCCCCAAATTTCGACTCTTCACAACCATAAATAGAATCTGTGTTTTGGCCGATTCCACCAGTAAATTTCATTCCACTCAAAATCTAATAATTCTCTTCTCACCCAACAAAAGGCGGAAGCTTTAATTTTTCACCTAACTGCTCTAGACGACAATGACCACGTCTCAAGTTATATATATATACATATGTTCTGTGTGTGTGTGTGTGTGTGTGTGTGTGTGTGTGTGTGTGTGTGTGTGTGTGCGCGTGTGTGCGTATGTATTGCACTTCAGTTTAAAATCCCAAGAATTACTTTAAAAAGGTATGTCGATAAATGTCGGGAAAAAAACAACTTGGATATAAATTTTCGCCCCAACAACGAACATCTTTTGGCTTTTAGTCCCGATGAAGAATTACTTCTTAAAAAATACTTAGAGCATGCATCTAACATTCACTATGGCTTGTCTTCTAAACAAGCTCGAATTCTAGCTTACGAGTTTGCGGTGGCCAATGGCAAAACCATAAAAGAAAGTTGGTCCCGAGAAGCAATGGCAGGCAAAGAGTGGATGTTTAGATTTATGAACAGGCACAACTTTTCGTTGAGGACGCCAGAACAAACAAGCTTAAGTAGGGCAACCAGTTTTAATAAGACAAATGTGGAGGCATTTTTTAAAAATTTTAGAGAGATTAAAGAGAGATATAATTTGCAATCTAATGATATATACAATCTACATGAATCCGGTGTAACCACGGTCCATAAACCTCCTAAGGTTCTTGCAATTAAAGGAAAAAGAAATGTAGGCCAGATGACGTCGGCTGAAAGAGGGACGCTCGTAACTGTTGTAGGAATTATTGGAGCTACAGGACGATATGTTCCTCCTTTTTTAATATTTCCCCGAGTCCACTTTAAAGAAAATATGCTCCATGGAACTACAGCTGGCTCTAAGGGTGGAACTTCGCCTTCTGGATGGATGAACAGTCAGTTGTTTCTTCCTGTGTTGCAGCATTTCGTACAAAACGAGAAACCATCTAAAGAACATCCCAAACTAGTAATCCTTGATAATCATGAGAGTCACTTAGGTATTGCAACACTAAATTTTGCTAAGCAAAACGGTATACTCCTTTTGACATTGCCACCCCATTGCAGCCACAAGCTGCAACCATTGGATTTAGCAGTATTTGGGCCATTTAAAAAATATTATGGTGCTAGTTGTGACAGATGGATGGTAAATCATGCCGGAAAACCTAT